ACGCTATCAGACAAACATGCGAGTCGGTTATAGCGGAATATTGCTGCTGCTGTGCACAGCGTATAGGCCAATTATAGGTAATACAAAACCTCGCCAGTTGAGAAACTTGTTGGTGATCTTGTGAAACAAAGAATGAGAGAGCCCACGTGTGTCAACAATGAAAGCTGGAGCGAATGAGTGGGGAGGGTGTGGCATGCGCAGACAAGCAAAACGCATCGCGTGATAGGCCAGCGTAAGCTTAATTTAGATAATCAAGGCCTACCATGCCTCTCACTTCTCCGATGCGGGGATGGAGAGGTCACAGCAATGTGATTGATGCAGCGAATGTGTAACGTGCGCAAGCAGACAGAATGCACCACAGGGTGTGGTGGGGTGGGGGGGGGGGGGAACACAGAGGGCGAGTTAGCCCAGAGCCTAGGCTTCCAGAGCCCTTTCTTTCTGATCGCCAACGCCGAGCTGTCAGTCCATATAGCTAGATCTAGTGTTAGAGAAAGAAACCTGATTCGATTTTTGATCAAGTAAGACCTAGACCTAGACCATCAGGGGATATAGCAAAAGGAAATAAACAGAACACCAAACTCATAGATTGGACATACTTTACAGTTTCCCTTGAAAAATTTATTAATGGATCCCTTATAGCGAGAATCCTGCTATAACGGACATTTTGCTCCGGTCCCCTCCATCTCGTTATAACAGGATTTGTATACGTTCAACACCTATGGTGTAACAGTTAGGCACTTCGCTGTCACACCTAAGAAACCCGAGATTGATTTCTTATTGAGAAACATTTTCTTATTGAGTGTCTTGGTCTTTTTTTAAAGAGAGAGAAGGGGGGTGTAAGTGTTTTACGCGCTCGCAAATGCAGAAGGACATTATGAGCGGGCAGGACACAAGCATCTTTAGTTTGGAAGGAATTAATTTCGAATTTTGCCCAGGTGGCGGCCGAAGCCTACTCTTATCGCTTTTGGACCGCCAAGGGATATCTCTCTCTCTCTCTCTCTCTCTCTCTCTCTCTCTCTCTCTCTCTCTCTCTCTCTCTCTCTCTCTCTCTCACACACACACACACACACACACACACACACACACACACACACACACACACTCACTCACTCACACACACACTCACGCGCACATACACTCGCGCGCGAACACACACACACACACACACACACACACACACACACACACACACACACTAACACATATAATTTTTGTAACATGTAAATATCCTGTTATAGGCTACACACATAATTTAACGCATCTTAAAAATAATGAAGAAGAAGAAGAAGAAGAAGAAGAAGAAGAAGAAGAAGAAGAAGAAGAAGAAGAAGAAGAAGAAGAAGAAGAAGAAGAAGAAGAAGAAGAAGAAGAAGAAGAAGAAGAAGAAGAAGAAGAAGAAGAAGAAGAAGAAGAAGAAGCTGGAGGAGGAGGAGGAGGAGGAGGAGGAGGAGGAGGAGGATCTTTATAATTAGCCGCCACAGAATTCTACACTAAGTGTAGAATTCTGTGTTAGCCGCTTAATTAGTCATTTCCGTCTAGCCTGTAACCACATGTAATCCTAAAACCTTCATCGTTAGGCCCATTTCCCTGCTAGTATACAGCTTAAACAAATTTTAAACATTTTATATTGTTATGTTATTTTGTCTGAAATTCAAACAAGACTCTCCCTCCTACCCTGCTTATCAAACAATGCTGATGATGATGATGATGATGATGATGATGATGATGATGATGATGATGATAAATCTAATAAAAAATATAAATAATGTGCATGTTACTGTATTTTTATACAGCGCATATATCCACGCTCTGCAGCATCATTATGCGCTAATTACACGCACATTAAATACGCCCACAATCACACACGTGTGGGTACTGTGAAAAGGGAAGAACAACATTTCTTGACAACAATAATGTATGTAAGATAGTATATAATCAGTAGGCTATTTTACGAGAGCGAACGCTCCAAAAATCTTCACGATAGGCCATGACGCTAACATTGTTAACGGTAGGCCTGCACCAGTCCTATTTCCTGCCTCCCAGCAGCTTCTGTCTATTCCTCCATTTGGCACCATTTTGGGGTCCCCCAATACATTGACGCAGAAATCTCCTTCACACCACCGGACATCTCTTTAACTCTTTACTCTCTGGAGGCCTATATTCTCTCACTTCCGTCAAACTCAAAATGGCTGCGTCCATACAACGGTTTGGAGGAAAGGTAGGCCTGTCTTGTGCATGTTGTCATTTATTTGTCCTACGATTTCTGACATTGAAATAAAACAACTAGATTTAACAGGAAAAGCTGTACCAATGTAAAGAGATTTTCTAATTATTTAATAGATCTAGATCTAGAATATAGATCCAGATCTAGATATCTAGATCTACAATAGATCTAATTGTGTCTATCTACGATGGGGAAGATTGAAGAATAGGCCTACAGGACCACTCGTTCGTTATTATAATTATTGCGTGAGAATGTGGGGTGGGTGAGGAGGGGGAGGGGGGGAGGGTTCAGGGGGGTCTCCCCCCTGACAAAATCTTAAAGAATAGATCTACCGGTCCGAGATTCTCCAGAGAGATAAAAATAAAAAACTGGGGAAAATCATGAATTCCTAATAAGCTAGAAGGCCTAAGGTTGAGACATAGATCTAGGCCGCTGGTCTGGTATTCTTCAAGGCCGTCATTATATTCGTATAAAAAATTTTCATATTCGGACTCGAGTCCGAATATGAAAAAATGTTATTCGGACACGGTCTGGAAAAAAGGAAGTGTCTTCGTTCTATAGATTATAGATCTAACGTTCAGTGCTTCCAATTTTCCGCCATTTTTTAGTTTCCCCCACACTTTATCTGCCGATCCGATGCCCGCCGCCTCATTGATACACCCCCCCCCCCCACCCCCCGTGTTTCCCACTTTCTTTGTTGTAGAAAAAGGTAAAATTGAAGATTAGCAGATCACCTGGCACGTGCATATTATGAGCTGTGTAAAAAAAAGACCGATTCATTCAAATACACTTGTAAGCCTGTGTCATGTCGATTGTTTTACCAAGAAAGAGTTGTGTTGCTGTGTAGAGCCGAGCATACGGCAACTTTTGATTCCATAGACCAGCGCTCAATTCATTACGTAGATCTACGTCAAGACTAGCTTACTATTGTAATGATCAGTTGCCGGTGGGGGGGGGAGGCTGACGCGTATGCGACGTTCAACGCCCGGACCGATAGTGCCCCTCCCCGACACGCACACACAGCCACACGTGTGCAGGCCGCCCATCCGACCAGGACACACGCTAACGAGCCATCTTTAATTGCTTCTGATGACCTCTTGACAAATAAACATTTATTAGAAGCGCTATAACTTTTCAGGCCGGCCTCAAATTCATCATAAGATAAAAACTCGGCTCCTGCACAATTTAACGCCTTTTTGCCCGAAGTGATCCCGGTCTCTACCCAGCCTGGGGCGAGTCATGAGTAAGGCAGGACAGGAAGCCGGAGTCACGAGTCACAGGAAGTCGGCAGTGATGTCATGCTGGACAAGAATCAGAGTCCGAATAACATTTTTTTCATATTCGGACTCGAGTCCGAATAGTCACTTCGATTCTTCAATCTTACCATCATACTCATCGTCTGACTGACACAGAGTCTACACTAGATCTAGATTCTATTATGAAATGAAAGTAGTCTAGCATAGTGAAAACAAATAAAAAGTGCAAAGGGTGAATTTTCTAGAAGAAACTCAAAGGATATCTAGAGCTCTAGATATAGATCTAGACACTGATAAGTGATTGTTGTGTAGGCTACTAGATCTAGATTTAGACTAACTAATGTTTTGTTTGTTTGTTTTTTGTAGTGATTTACGGCGCTCGCACCTGCTTAAGGTCATATGAGCGCGTGGGACACATTAAACTTTTTCAGTTGGTAGAAAATTTTGAATATTACCCGGGTGGCGGCCGAAGCCTACTCTTATCGATTTTAGACCACCAAAAGGTATCTTTAACGTGCGCAACTTGCACCCGGGCCCTGTGAGATTTTTCGTGGTTTTCCGAGAAGGCTAGGTGTAGATCTTTCCTACCAGACCAGAAGATCAGGGGTGTGGCAGAAAGACAACAGTAAGAAGAAGCCAAGGAGTAGCAGTAGAAAGGCTGTAGAGAAAGAATCAGGAGCGCAGAGGTGGGGGGCAAAGGAGATCAGGGAGTGGGGGCAGAAAGAGGAGACGAAATCAGACGACAGAACATTGCTAGAGAGCAGGAAAGGAGGTGAAAGGAGACAAATTTATAAAAGAAAATTTTTCGGTCACTACCCTTATTCGAACCCGGGACCTTTGAATGAGAGGCCAACACCTTAACCTCTAGGCCACGAGAGCCCCGTACTAGACTAATTCAAGGATTATTATAATTAGTCTAGTACACAATGTGTCTAGTACTAGTAGCCTACCCTTGTTGCTCCCTCATCCCTCAAAATAAAAAACACACACACATGACATGCTCACAATACAGTAAACACAGGGGGGACTTCCGTAACGAGCGACCACTAGGAAACAATGAGTAGAAGAAAAGAGGGCCAGGGGTACAGGTTAGGGTACAGGTTAGGGTTTGAGTTACGGTTAGGGGTAGGGTTTGGGTTAGGATTAGAGTTAGGGTTACGGGTAGGGGTAAGTCTCTTCTTTATTATGTGGTCGCTCATTACGGAAGTCCTTCCCAAAACGTACACATAAAATACTTTCCGTCTTCACTTTCTTCCTAGCATGGCCTCCCTCTAGATCTAGATCTAGTAGTCTAACTCTAACTCTAACTGAACTAACTAGATCTACAAAAGCTGAAATCAATTGAGGAGTTTCAGTTTATGTTGATAAAACATTGAAATTTTAAATTTGAATACCAAGTGGCTAGCCATTCTATTTTTAAGGAGGGCCTGCACCCCCCCCCCCCCATCCCCCATCTTTTCCCCTTCTGAAAAATAATTCAGCTTAATACATATTTATATTTTTCTTTTAAAAATTCAAAGTCTCCAGAATTTATACAATAGGGGGGCCTACTGAGATGACCGCATAGCTTACCCTTTTACCAAAGATCGTGTACCAAGATGTTTCAATTGCCGCATATCGCGCGTCCGTGCGAGACTTGGGAGTGCCCTTTCGCTGACGCGTGACGGCCCGCGATATGAGCATAAACAAACATTCCAGCGCTTTTGAGTTGAACGCGTGCAATTTTGTTTTGTAATTTTTTGCGGGCAGTGAGAGAGAGAGAAAAGAAAAAAAGAAAGGGAGAGAGAGAGGGGGTAGGTAGAGCGAGAGAGAGAGAAGGGGGGGGGGTGGAGAAAGAGAGGGAGGGAGAGAGAGAGGTGTTTGTTACTATACAGTGGAATTCACTTATAACGAGTCCTGAAATAACGAGAAGTCTATAAAGAATTTTTTCTAAAACACTGTTTTTTCTCTTCTTTAGCTTTGTAAATAAAATACTGCTATAGCACAATCAGACAAACTCACGATTCAGTTAAAATGGAATATTGTTGCTGCTGTGCACAGCGCATAGGCCATTTATATTTATACATATATGTCAAACCTCGCCAATTGAGAAACTTGTTGGTGATCTAGCGAAACAAAGAATGAGAGAGCCCACAATGAAGGCCGAAACGAATGAGTGGGGAGGGTGTGGCATGCGCAGACAAGTAGATCGCATCGCGTGATAGGCCAGCCTAGTCTAGATTATCTAGCCTACCATGCCTCTCACTTCTCCGATGCGGGGATGGAGAGGTCACAGTCCTGTGGTGGATGGAGCGAATATGTGACGTGCGCAAGCAAACAGAACGCAACCCTTTTTCCTTTTTTTTCTTTTCATTCTTTTTGTTTTTATTTTTTGCGTTAATTTTTGTTATCTTTAATTAAAAGATCTCAACAATTCTTGTTCCATAGATTTAGCGTGTACCATTCTGTACCCCCTCTTCTCCTCCCCAACCAAAGTTGTACATACACACGCCTGGGCACACACACACACAAACACAGGCACATCCCAAGCAGTCAGCGATGAAACCAACCAAGCGTCGCCTAGTGATGTTGCCCATCATGTGCTATGTGGCAAAGCGAGCTTGCCGTGGCGCGGACAAAAGCCCAAAGAAGAAGTGGAATATCTTAGTAGTAGAGAATCTTTGCTTTTACTTCCATAATCTATAAATAACACATCATGACAATCATGTACATAAAATGTAGGCGCTTTTACAGTAGTCCCCCCCCCAATTATTATTCACCTATTTTCCTGTTTCGGGAATATAATTGAGTTAGAACTTAACTGATATTGGTCTGGATCGGATATTTGAAGAGGTCAACCTGTGAATCTCCTTTAGTACTGGACATGAACGAAAATTACTTGTTAAACACTTTTTTGTAAAAGTAAATGGCACGGAAAATGGTTCACTTTCCAACTTGGCAATAGGCTAATGTTATCAATGAACGGTTGGCCAAATTGTACTTCCACTTCCAACCAAAACAGCAATGGCGACAGTTTGGACGACAGTCAATTTCCCAGACGCACTTCATGTTTGCAATTAACAACACTAGGCCTGAGTGTAGTGTTTAATTATGTAATTTTGACATATCAATTACCTAGTATTTTTACCAATATCTACTACTCAAATACAAAATTGAGCTCAATTTTGCGAATTTCGAATAAAATAGGCCAAAATAAGAGGGGTGGGAACTACCGAAAAAGTGCCAAAATGTAGATGTAGATGTTCAAATGTAGAAACTGCAAGAGACTTGTAAACAAATACAACTTAATGTTTGCTTTTTTTCTTTTTAAGTTCCAGATTCTGAAGAAAGGGAGATCATGGGTGCAATGCTTAGCCCGGTTCTCCAGCTCAGATAAGAGTAAAGATGGTGAGCATAAAATGGAAGCAGAGGATTTGCCCAACCCAGTGCGAAACACTGAGAAAGAGTATTTTGACAGAATCAGAAACCCCAACAGAGATTTTGCTAGTGAACCTGGACCTTTTGATTCAAAATACTACTCCCGAAAGCAGGGCATCACAAAGGAGCTGTTTTCATGGCTGCATTGGGACTTCAACATAAACGATACTGAGGATATTGCTGCATTCCTGAAGAAGAAACGCTATGAACACTTAAAGGATAGCCAAAGGTCTGTGTACATTTAAAAAGAATGATTACAAAAAATTTAAATTTTCTTCTTTTCTTTCATTTAGAGATGTTCATGTACTATTCAACCTCCCCAATTTCTTTTCAAACTCTCACAGTCGCCTTTTATGATTGTAATTGTTTAACACTTTGCCGTCACATCTTGCATGTTTACCACACCCAGTTTCTTTGGATTTTCCCCAAAATGCCTTTGCCTTTGATGGCAAGGGTTTTTATTATATGAGCCTTGTTTGGCAAAGTGTTGAAGGAAAGAGAGGGACTCAGGTTGAAATAAAATCTTCTTGAGAAATGATGTCATTAACTCTTTTTTATCTCCAAGGGGGGAGGGGGTCCCCCCACTATTTTAAGGCCCTCTTTTGGTACCAAATCTAAAGTGATAAATATGTCTTTAAACTGGTCATTAAATCAAAAGAAATGAACCTATTTTGATAGTTGTACATCTGATGAAAGAACTCCCAGTAAAAGAGACCGGTGTTTTGCACTGCCGAAAACTGACACAACGTCAAAGTCATTGTAAAGGAATATATGCCCGAGCCCAGCGGCTCACCGGCACAGCGGTTCTAACCGCAAGCCGTTGGTAGCAGCTTGCCAGAGATAAGGAGTTAAAAGGCTATTTTGAGCTTGCTGCTACTAACTTTAAAGATCATATTATTAAATTTGAAAGGACAGTACCACTTCAAAATGTTTCTATTGGAAAAGAATCACAATTGTCTTCATTAACAATGTTTGCTTTCAATTTGGCTTCCTTTTCTTGGAGTATTGAGTGTTGATACTTTATAGGACATGATATGAAAACATTTCTCTCCCTTGAAAATTGCATCACATCAGAGTATCTTTACATTCTTTTCAGTCGTGTGTTAGTGGTGGTGATCAGTTTTAGCAAAAACTCTTTTTTTCTTTTTATGTTGAGAATTTTGCTTTGCATTTTGACATATTTCCCTCGATATCTGGCAGATATTTGCAAGAGAGACACGATGCCTTAGGACCTGAGCTGGCCGGTGCTCACTTCGTACTGGCCCAAGGGGGAGCAGTCAAATTCTGGAATAGAGATACTTGGATCCGAAAGGATGCTCAAGGCAGATACTCTTTACCTCGCAGCTATGTGGAGAACCTCTATGTTGAAGCCATTGACGTCAGTAATACAGATTTCACCTATGTAGCTTTTGACAATATAGGTAAGCATTGCTAGAGGAAATATAATGAGATCTGTGTCAGGGATGTCTCTTTTCCAGGGGAGTTGGTCATGTTGCAGGAGGTTGATGGTGCTGTAGCGTAGTCTTCCCCTTCTCTTTTCTTTTTATTATTATTATTGTTGTTTGAATCGGCTTCCAGATCAAAATGTTAACCAGTATACTACAACTCAGCACTACTTGATGTGTTGGATGAGATGCACTGGTTGTCTTCCTTTTTGTACTCATTTTGTATGGGTTTATAAAACTTTTCCCTTTTCTATCTGATCTACTGTAATTTTAGTATTATCTTTTTTTGTTTTTGTCTGTTTGTTTGTAAGTGTTTTACAGTGCTTGCAAATGCATAAGGTTAGTGTTATCTTGCTTTTTCTGTGTGTTTTTTTTTTTTACATGATTAATTCCCTTCATGACTTCATGGTCAGTTTGTGCTTCACCGGGCACAGTTTTGGATCCCAGGAGACAAAGAGTAGTGACAGGCTTAGTGGTCAGTTGCCTATAATTAGACATAGTTTGTAAAATACTAACTATCTCTAAAAGTAAAAGATTTCTTCGTAGGTAGAAATATTGCTGAATGTGAACCTGTGATTAGTTTTACAAAATGCATCTAATAGAAGCAGTATGCAGAATACAACTTATGATGAACGGCGCTCATCATCATGGTCCTCGCGCTTCACAGGGCATGATTATCACCGTACATCACTGCAGTATCTTGGCTCCGTTGGCATATAGGAATAATTGACGAACGGCATATGTCATATATAGGTGACAAAGGGGATAATACCAATAACCTTTGTTGTGTAGGTATGCTTCTCTATTTCCTCACCATTTCATACTCTATTTTTTCTAGGTTAATTTGTTATCAGATTGTCATTTTGGGTGGTTAGTGGGTGCTCTGGTGTGGTCTGTCTGCTCCTTCTTTCCTTAGATTTCCTATCAAACATTTGTTGTCCTTATCTCTCCTCCTTCCTTTTTGTGTTTTTCTGTTATAACACCTCTAATCTTGGGCACTTATATGACCTAATTGTGTTGCAAGTGCCATAAAACATGAACTTAGACGAATTTATTATCATTGGCTCTATGTACACTTTTGTAATTCTTTTGAAAGTGAAGTTACCACCCTTCTGATACAGTCGAACCTGCTTTAACGACCACCTGCGCAAGACAAAGATCGATCTGTACAAACAGCAACTTTTGATTTTTTCTCTTGCATATTTTTGTATATAATAGCATTGTGTAAGATGGCCACCTGTCTCAGAGAACCACTTTTCTCCTTGTCAGTGGGTAACCGTCTTAGACAGTTTTGACTGTACTTCTATTATTTTTCCCCCCTTTCACCATTCTTTAACTTTCTTTCCTTCATGTCTGTTCCTTCCAACAAAAAAAAAACATCCCCTATTGCTGTTGTCATATAATTTCCTTAAAAACAGTATGTCACTTTATTTTTCTTACAATATGTTACTGTTTCACAGGACAACTAAGTCAGCTGCGTTACCTGAACCTGAGCAAGTGCAAGTACATCGACGACTGGAGTCTGGCTCGTCTCCAACGCCTGAGTCATAGTCTGGAGTTCTTGGACATAAGTGACTGCCCCAGGGTCACTGACTGGGGACTGGCCTCATTACAGTGTCTCAGGTCTGTTACTGTCTGTGTCTCTATTCTTTCTTCCCAGTGCCTGATTACTGTTAATAAAAGATTTCTGGGTTTTTTTAAATCTGTGGGTAGTTTTTAATGGCGTGTCTTTTAGTTTCAGTTTCACTTGGCATTAAAAATTGTTGCGAGAACAAACACATTTCACATGCACTGCCTCAATGAACTTTTCTATGATGTTTGATGAGTTTTCAAATCACATTTCATTCAGGGTCTCTGATTATTGTGGAAACGTTTAGAGGCTGCACCTAATGTCAAGTTGGCAGTGGACTAATAGTGGGTGGCTGGCATGTGCTCTAGTGTGGTTTGCTCCCTCTTTGCTATCTTTTGTCCTTATCTCTCTCCTTCTTTTCTTAGTATAGTACACCCTTGTAAGACTTCTAATCTGGGGCACCTATATGACCTATGTATGGGTGTGTGTTGCAAGTGCCATAAAACTCTCACTAAAACTAAAAAGCGGACCATTTTTGTGGTTTGTAATTGATGTTTTATAATTGGTTTACCTCTTTCATTTAAACACAAAAAGGTGATGATCAGTTTCATATTGTCTCTTTGCCAAGCTACAGAATTTTTGTCATGTATGAGAACACCATGAGCTCAGTTGGTATCATGCTGGACTAAGGAGCTGTTGGTCCCGATTCGAATCCTCAAAGGGTATTCTGAACTTGGATTGTTTTTTGGAGTTTTAAAGCTGTCTACCCATTTGGCTCAATCCTGCCTGAGACAGACATTAAATTCGGAGGTCCCACCTCTTAGATATCCTTTCACTTACAGTGTTGGGAAAGGGTGTTAAACCTATACAATGACCAATTGTTGTGTATCAATTATGTTCACACTGTCTTGTTTCCTTTTCCACTGTTCAGAAAAATGCAAGGCCTGAGAGTGGTGAACTTGCCAGGGGTCAAGTTCCTGGGACTGCTCACTTTACTGCTGGAGGAGCAAGTCCCGGGACTCAAGATGCTGGGGGTCACCGAGGCCGACCTCCAACCTCCGGCCTTTCTGCAGCGTGGGGAGCGTCGCTTGGTCCGGGCCCTGCTGGGGATGATGGACAAGGACAAGAGTGACCCTGATGAGGAGCGGATGGAGTTTTCGGGGCAGTACAGTCATGACGGGTTTCATAAGTACAACCGTGCCATTAGGAAAGTGGACTGGTGAAGTAGGTGAAGTCCAGACAAAGACAAGAGGCCATATTATGATACAGTGGAGTCTACTGAAACCAAAACCTGTGGGACAGCCAGATTTTCTTCAGTTAAAAGGGGTTGTTCAAATAGAGGGGTAAAGAATCAGGGTTTTCATTTTCATTTGGTTTACCGCTGTTTTCGGATTAACCGTGTTCAGTTATACCTTTGACTGCTGACTTTAAATTTTAAAGGTTAAAACACCAGTCAGGTAGGCTACTTGAAATGTTTAATTTCACCTACAGTGAAAACATACATATGCAAAACCATTGATTTTCTTTAAAAAGGATGCTTGAAGTATATAAAAACAGGGTGGCCAGGGAAATCTTCCTCCTAAAAATCTTACCACACCAAAAAACAAACAAAAACTACCACTATCCTCACCGTCACCGAAAAAAATTATGTATATTATATATATGATTTATAAAATCTAGAATAAAATCATGAAATATAATGCAGTGTCACTGAATTTAAAGCTCTAATATTTATAATCAAAGCTCACCTTAACTCTTTCCCTCTGGAATTTTTACCCCACTCTGGACGAAATTAATTCAAGGCACAGTGGGGAATGCTAGAATGATTTTTTTTAAATGTATTTTTGTTGGTTGATAGCAAAATAAACCTCTAAGTGTTAGATGCCAAACGGTTCAGGAATGAATGTAGAATGCATGTATCTGTGTTAGAAAGGCATATGATTACACAGATTCAATTGAATAAATCTGAAAGAGAACTTCAAAATTATGAAAATTGAAACAAAATTTCTGCCTCACCCCATTCTTTTCACTTTGAAGACTTCAAATGATATGGCAGATAATCCAATTATTGAAATTCAGTATTTGTTTACTGCTCCCAGTTTCAAGACATTTGTATTAAAAGTTTTTAAAAAATGATTTTTTGAAAATAAATACACTATGAGCACAACAATCAGGGGACGTAATTGGGAAAACTGGAACACAACACCAAAGTCTATTCACACTTTATACATGGTCTTTCCTGCTGTCCTGCAAAATATGTTGCTGGGTGTGGTAAATTCGAAAACAGTCTTTCGGATGCAGATGGGGGAAATTTGAACAACCTCTGCAGAAGAAGTTTGCGGGTTGCTGGGGTACTGCACACGACGCAGTTGACATCACGCGGAGAGTAGTCGATGATTTGTCCCATACCATTGAACCTTTCCACTGGATTCTCTGTCCTGGGTCTCCCAAAGCAGTTCTCAAAGACAATCCAGCTCCGAAGAATTTTTGTGAAGAGCAGCATTCACTCCGGAGGGCAAAGTCACAGGTGGTGAAAATCTAAAGTTGTTGATGGTTCCACCTTCACCAATTTCACTCCATCCACCATCATCAGGAGATCATCGCCCTCTGTTCTTGCAGCAACAGGAGCCCTTTGTTGCTTTCCTTTACCTTTACTACCGCCTGTCTTCCTCAGTTTTCGTCTCGGCGCATTGTCATTGTCACCGTCAAGAGAATTGGACCTAGATCTAGATCTGTCACCTTCAGAACTGGCGGGTCTTCATCAAAATTATCGTTAACAGGTCTTCTCTGTCAACTTACAGACGAATCTGAGTCCAAATCGCTGTTTTCAGCATTCAAAGACACAAACAATTCACGGGCCTGAACAGCTATAAACCGTTGTGGACGTGTTCCACTTGTTGAAGGTCTCGAATCTATCAATACCCGCATCAGTTGGTCTCAAAACAACAAAAACACCAGAAATGTGCTTGAATATTCCACCAGATTTCCCGGAATGAACTCTTTTACACAGAAGAGCATAAACAATGGAAGTCTTTAATAATTATGGACTGGAAAAGATTGTGTATTTCGAATTACTATGTCTGACACACAGTGCGGCCTTACGGCGGAAGTCGCTGGAAGGATTGGCGCACTGTGCGGCTTTACGGAGACAAAGAGTTAAACAGCATCCTTAGAATAGTAGCTGGTCTATTCAAGAAGGCTCTCAGTAAAAGTCTCAGCACACAACTATTTACTCCTCTTTCTCTTGACTGAACAGGTAAATGTAGGAACTTTTAGAACATGAAAGCACTGTCAACTTATGTACACTATTTACATACCATAATCTCTCCTTGCATGATTACTGTTTCAATTCCCCTTCTCTCTCAAGAATGATTGTTCATTGTTCATTGTTTCAGGAAGCAACATCCCTGCATTCCGGACACGTCCATTTGATGCTCTGTTGCTTTCTCCAAAATCCAGTTCCTCAAGAATGAAAGAAGAGAAAGACATCACCTCTTCTTTTCTTTTAGAAGCATCACTTTTGAGGCAAGACATTTGATACTAAGTTCATGGGCTTCCTTTGCAGATGACTTTGCTGCCTTCTTTATCATCTCCTCGGCTGACTTCACCAACAGATCAATGTCGAGCTCAGCTTTCTTCTTCTTTGCTTTCAGATTGACCAGCTTCTCATTTTTTCTTTTTTTGTTCAATGATTCCTCATTATCCTGTCTCTTCTTTCTTTTCTTTTCTAAAACCTTAGAGTACTTATGCCAAGCTTGGCTGAATGACTGTATCATTTCCTTTGGGATTGGCACATCTGTGATGCCTGGTCCATTGTCTCTTACATACTGACAAATGAGCCTTCTTGCACCCAAGTTCTCTTCAAGAAGATTTCCTCTGAATCTTCTTTGTTTACAGAAAAGGCCCATTCCACATCAGCATTGCCATGGCTCAAGAGTAATACAATCTGTATCACCTTTTGCGGTGCTGGTAGCTTGTCCAGTTGTACATTTTCTCTACAGTATTTGTCCAGGTTTTGATCACTGTATTGTATTGAAGATATTATCTCTGAAAAGTTTTGAAATTTAAACTCATACTGGTCCACTCAGTCTACATTTATCCAGTTCTTTGGATTGTCTGGCTAATTTTGAGAACATTTGATGAGCCTTGGTGGGCTGTTGCTTAACCCTCTTAGCGCTGGGCTAAAAATATTCAATTAACCCAGATTGTGAGCTAAAATTGTGGAATACCTGATTGAGAAGGGTACCTTGGCTGACTTAGCTGTTGTAGTTGTTCCTTTGGTTCACCATATATTGATGGCTATTTGTGATAGCGGCTGACTGATATATAATATATATATGTATGGCTCGTTTCGTCTATGCAGATGGTCAATTTAGCTTAAGATGGTCTCAAGGTTGTCTTCATGCAGCTTCTTTCATGGCTAATTCTTCCTATGTTTGAAGCGCAGATTCTCTCGCAATGCTTGCATGTCAGTGTCGTAGATCGAAGCTCTGTATTTCCTCTGTTTTCCTATCGTCGTTGGCGCTTCTCAGCCTGGTTGTTTCTAAGGCTGCCCTCTAGCATTATAGTTGTTTCATTTATCATTTTCCTCCATGTTTTCCTGTCCTCAGCTATTTCTTCCCAGATGCTAACATCTACTCCAAGCTTAGATAAGCTATTTTTGCAGGTGTCTTTGTACCTCAATTTTGGTCTTCCTCTTGGTCTCTTTCCCTGGGCAAGTTCTCCATAGAGAAGTTGCTTCAGAATCCAGTTGTCGTCCATTCTCTTGACATGGCCCAGCCATCTCAATCTTTTTTAACACAGGATAGTTGTCATGCTCTGGAGGTTTGCCTGTGCCAACACTTCTACATTTGTAACCTTGTCACCCCACGAAATGCCTCAGATCTTGCGGCAGCATCTAAGATGGAAAATGTCGAGGTGCTTTTCTTGTTTGCTGTACAAGGTCCATGTTTCAGATCCATTAAGGAGTGTGCTGAGGACACATCCATCGTAAATCTTGATCTTTGTTTTGATGGTTAATCTTTTGTTTTCTCGTGCTCATTTTGTCAGCCTTCCAAAAGTGGTTGCTGCTTTCCCTATCCTGGTGTTGATCTCATAATCAAGTTATGTAGTAGAGCTGATGGTATATCCCAGGTAACATAACTTGTCCACTGTCTCAAGTTCCTTGTCGTTCAGCCATATATGGCTCTGCTCTGCACCTTCTTGGGTAAGGATGACTGTTTTCTGAACACTGATGACCAAGCTAAAGACCTTGCATGCTGTTGATAGGCGGTCCATCATTGTTTGTAGGGTTGATTCACTGTGAGCAACAAGAGCAGCATCATCGGCGAAGAGAAGGTCTCGTACTGTTGTTTTGTTGATCTTGGTCTTGGCCTTGAGTCGAGCAAGATTGAAGAGCGACCCATCAGTTCTCCAGTGGAGGAAGACATCCCCTGGTGACTCTTTAAATGCAGGTTGCAGTAAGACTGCAAAATAAGTGCTAAAAAGGGTTGGTGCTAAGACACAACCTTGCTTTACTCAGCTATTGATGTTGAAACTGTTTGATGTTGAACCGTCAAACTGAATGGTGGCCTTCATATCTTCGTGGAATGAAATGATGAGCTGTAGCAGTATTGGGGGACAGCCAATTTTTCCAAACACCATGTACAGTCCTTATGTACTGACTGTATTAAAAGCCTTTCTCAGATCGACAAACGCAGTATGTAATGGCAGTTGTTGCTCCCTGCATTTTTTTTGTAGCTGACAAATAGAAAAGATCATGTCCATTGTTGAGCGGTTTCATCTGAAACCGCATTGGCTCTCAGGTAGGACTCTTTCTGCTAGTTTCTGAAGTCGCTTCAGGATGATCCTAGTGAAAGCTTTTCCAGTGATGCTTAGCAGTGAGATACCTCTGTAGTTGTTGCAATCTCCTTTGTCCCCTTACTTTTTGTAGAGTGTCGTGATTTTGGCATCTCTCATATCATGTGGAATTTCTGCTTTCAGCCAACAAGTCGTTACTAGCTTGTAGAGATATGAGAGGAGGGTCTCTTTGTTCTCTTTCAGCACTTCAGCTGGTATGTTGTCATTTCCTGCTGCTTTACCGCAAGCGAGTTCATCGATTGCAGAAGAGAGTTCTTCTTCTGTTGGTGTTGTATTAAGTTCTGACATTTCGGAGAGCTGAGGAATGATCTCATGTAGCTGTCTATCAACATGTGGTTCCTCTGAGTATAAGTCTGAATAATGTTCCGCCCATCTTTTTATTTGTTCCTTCTTGTCTGTCAGCTTGTCTGTCGCAGACTTTAGAGGTTCCACTTACTTTGTTTGCTGTTGGTCCAATAGCAACTCTGATGTTTTCATACATTTTCCTGATATTACCTGTATCGCTTACCTGTTGGATTTCTGAGCATAACTTGTCCCAGTACTGATTGGCACACTTTCTGGTTTCTCTTTGAAGGTTGGATTTAGCAGCACGTAGTTGTTGCTTTGTACTCTCTGTTGGATTTGTGTTGTGTTCTATCGGGATCTTACACTTTTTCTCGAGTAGTGGAGGGAGTGTTGATGCACTAGCTTCAACCCAGTCCTCCTTGCAAGGTCTTTCTATTCTAAAAGTAATCGACGCAGAATTATAAATTGTTGATCTCATGCTATTCCATATGTTGTCTGTGGATGAGCTATCTAGATGTTGGAGCTCATCTTTAACATGTTCTTGAAATTTTGCCTTTAACGCTGGGTCTTTGGTGTTTTTTATGTTGATCTTAGGTTTCTTTTGTTTTTCAGCTCTTGGTGTTTTCTTTATGACTATCTTTGCCTTGGCTATAACTAAAAGGTGGTCTGTGTTGCAGTCTGCACTGTAGAAGGATCTTGTTTGCTTTACCATGTTGGCATCTTTCTTTCTGAC